ACACCTCCACAATTACGAACGATGTCACGGCCTTCTGCAGACAAGGTGCTTTCTTCTCCCCGGAAAAATCCTAAGCAGCAGATTTTTTTGAATATTTAAGTTTTTTCATTTTTTTGTGGAAGGAAATCTTCTCACCTCCTACATGTTCTGTTTTTGTTGTGGGTCCTGCCCTATTTACGGAGGTATTTTTCAAAAGTGCCTGGAAACTCGCCTTCTCGAGATTTTCATCGTTTTTCTCGGATTCGTAACACCGCCGCTGGTACCACTTTGACTACTTTCTCTTGAAAGCTTCAAATGATCACCGACTCCGTCCACAGTTTTGCAAAATGCTTTTTCTGAGGGAATTTGCCATTTTTGGGAAAATCGTCATGGTACAGTGACGGTTATGAATGGATAGCGCTAACGCTGTGACAGAGGTGAAACAAAACCGCATTGGAAATAATAGCGTTTTGATTGTCAATTTAGATAAGTGGTCTTATAGAGAGGGTGGGGGAGTGAGTACTATGGACACCCTTTTTTGTGTGCGTTGTGTGGCGACGGGGAGGGTTGCATCGACCAGCAATTTCATTTGATGTGATGTTTGACACTTCGCAAAGCACGAGCTTCGTTTTTTTACTTAATAATAGTGTACTGGTCTTATCAATGTGAGGCGTGTGATTTTTCAGGAATGAGCAAAGAAAACTAGTTTAAAGGTACGATCACACATAGTTTGGGTGTGTGACTAACAGTCCCCAGCTGTCGAAGCGTAGCGGTTTCTTCGTCCTAACATGCGCAGGAATGGAGATACAGCCATGCTCCGCCCTTATACCTTTTTGCGGCGCAGATTCCCGTCCTTCATAACATCCGTCGTAAGCGCGCGTGTCGCGTGCGGCTCCTTGGCACTTTGCCAAGTCCTTTAATTGCGCTTTGGAATACAAGTAAAACGCAATTTCCTGATGCTAACATTTGAGGTGCTGCAAAATAAGAACCGAAGATGATGACGAGGGCTAGAACTTATGCAGTATCCCTCGGAGGCCGCGCATTCCCACAAAACATGAAAATAAAAACGGCCTAAGCGTCCCACTCGTTAGTTTGAAGTATTTCTATGGCTTTGGAGCCTGAATTCGCGCCGGATCGCAGAAATTTACGATTTAATTAATTTGCATTTCTCCTAATTTTGTCAGTTTTGTTTTCATTTGCATTTGCTTGCATTTCGTTGTTCTTCATTTCTAGCCTTTGTCATCTTCATCACCTTCTATTCGGACTTTGAAGCATGAGCAACACCTCAAATGTTATTCGCATCAGGAAATTGCGTTTTGCTTGTATTAAACTAACGAGTGGAACGCTTAGGCCGTTTTTATTGTCATGTTCTGTGGGAATGCGCGGCCTCTGAGGGATTGCAGAAGCAGCACAGTTGCTCTTGAGTTCTAGCCCTCGTCATCATCTTCGGTTCTTATTTTGCAGCACCTAAAATGTTATCCGCATCAGGAAATTGCGTTTTACTTGTATTCCAAAGCGCAATTAAAGGACAAATGGACAAATCAGCGTGTTTCACGGTTCTGTATCTCCATTCCTGCGCATGTTAGGACGGGGAAACCGCTACGCTTCGACAGCTGGGGGCTGTTAGTCACACACACCCAAACTGTGTGTGATCGTACCATGGGTCTTTAAGTGCAAAAGTCTCTCCTCCATCCGTCATCCTCATCCCACCCCTCCCGCCCGAGCAAATAGGAGCCCAATTCCTCACAGTGGTAATG